AAATCAATATATTTCTGTTATATGTATTTCCTTCGCTTTTTCCCCTCCCGAAAAATTAATGAGTATGAGAAGTCGTTCAAAGTCCTCCAATTCGGACTGGACGGGATTTCAAGTCCTTGCAATTAGTTCCAGTCCTCGACTTGAAACGCCGTCAAGTCCTCATTGTCGGACTTTAAACATTACTTCAAAAAACGTTGTCGGGGAGAACGGCGAACGGTGATTGTCGAAGGGAGAATGCACGACCGAAATGGACTATGGTTACACTGTTTGACAAACAAATTTTCACTTATTGCATAGAAATGRAGTCTAAATGGAGCCAGTGTTTACCACAGACTATATTGTTATTTAATATAATATAAATCAGTTGTTATTTCCATTTAGTTAACAAAACCCATGGATATTCTCGGCTCGATCAATCGCCGTTCGACAATTGACATTCGCCATTCTCCCCGACAACGTTTTTCGAAATAGGTATATATAGTTTTATCACATTTTGATTATTCTGTTGCTGAGTGAGCAATCACAACACTTTATATATGACAATGCATTAGAGTACATAGACTTAAGGCCTGATAAAAGCAGTATTAAAGAGTTAAATAGAGTTCACATGACTTACTTGGCTTAGCACGTGTAGTGTTTGCGGTTCCAGTATGGCTGGGAATGAATGGCACGATGGTAAATATGGATGCAATTTGTGGAAACGCGCCATATTGCACTACTGGAACACTAACTGGTTGTTGCAATAGTTTAGCATTGTATCGTGGTGCAGCTTTTACAGCCACACGGTTGTAAGATCTGCGACTAGCAGATTGTTTCTTCTCCTGTTTACCTAAAAAGGTAGTTGTTGCCAGCGAGTATTGTATGTCATGTGGCAAATATAGTCGTTTAGCGACAGTGTTGCCCTAAAACAAAACAAAGACAGTGTTGGTAATAGTAAAGATAAACAATTTAGGTTACGGCCGGGCTGACGAATTTTCAAATGCTAATCAATCCAGTGCTTTAATTTTCTATTCCGAATTGTTCAAAGCTCGATCTGCATTGGGAGTAGTATACCCCCCACTATAGCACCTCCCCCCTCCCCTATAAGTTATGCANAGTCTAAATGGAGCCAGTGTTTACCACAGACTATATTGTTATTTAATATAATATAAATCAGTTGTTATTTCCATTTAGTTAACAAAACCCATGGATATTCTCGGCTCGATCAATCGCCGTTCGACAATTGACATTCGCCATTCTCCCCGACAACGTTTTTCGAAATAGGTATATATAGTTTTATCACATTTTGATTATTCTGTTGCTGAGTGAGCAATCACAACACTTTATATATGACAATGCATTAGAGTACATAGACTTAAGGCCTGATAAAAGCAGTATTAAAGAGTTAAATAGAGTTCACATGACTTACTTGGCTTAGCACGTGTAGTGTTTGCGGTTCCAGTATGGCTGGGAATGAATGGCACGATGGTAAATATGGATGCAATTTGTGGAAACGCGCCATATTGCACTACTGGAACACTAACTGGTTGTTGCAATAGTTTAGCATTGTATCGTGGTGCAGCTTTTACAGCCACACGGTTGTAAGATCTGCGACTAGCAGATTGTTTCTTCTCCTGTTTACCTAAAAAGGTAGTTGTTGCCAGCGAGTATTGTATGTCATGTGGCAAATATAGTCGTTTAGCGACAGTGTTGCCCTAAAACAAAACAAAGACAGTGTTGGTAATAGTAAAGATAAACAATTTAGGTTACGGCCGGGCTGACGAATTTTCAAATGCTAATCAATCCAGTGCTTTAATTTTCTATTCCGAATTGTTCAAAGCTCGATCTGCATTGGGAGTAGTATACCCCCCACTATAGCACCTCCCCCCTCCCCTATAAGTTATGCAAGGTATGCAAGGAATGTTATGCAAGGAATGTTATGCAAGGAATGTAAAATGTAAAAAATGTCAAATGTAAAGAATGTCAAATATGTGGAATGCCAAACATATTTCAGACACGTGACTACCCCTCCAAACAGGGGTAGAGGGGTAGTCATTACAGAMTAAGAATGTGGAATTTCATGAATTCGCTGAATGCAGATAACTCTGGTATGCAGACAATGGCATTTCAGCTATTTCTTTTTCGGTATATAAACTCGAGTGTTTGGCCTTTCTTTTCATAAAGTCAGCAAAGCCATCATATTCCTTATCTGACATATGGTATTCTGTCTTGGGGTAATGCCTCTAAATCTAGAATAAATAAACTTATTCAACTAAACAAAACAAATGTATAAGTGCAATTTTCTTTTGCTCACAAAAGAGAAAGTGCTATCCCATTTTTTAATCTCCTGGATATTCTTACCTTTGACAATTTGCTCAAATTCAAAACTGCTTTATTTGGACATAGGATTACTTTAAACAAATCACTTGTACCAAGTATATTTCATAATTATGTAAAATCTATCTCAGAAATTCACAATTACAATACACGTCTAGCTTGTAATTTCAACTTCTTTAGACCACAAATCAAAACAAATTATGGTAGAGCTCATTGCCCAAAATCCAAAACCTGGGAAACCATTCCCACTCACCTCAAGCAGCTATCTTACTCAAACTTTAGCAAGAAGTTTAAACAACATTTACTAAGCTATCAAAAATAGTCTCCTCCTCCTTATATATTGATATGGACTAATTGACTATTTCAACTAAATTGGTTGATCAGTCCATACANGCGCATGTCCGTGACGTTTTTGTGTAATTAGCATATTATGACGTAACGGAAGTGAATTTTTCAGTGAACGGAAGTGAAATATCTGACAACAGCCGTAAAGGTTTTGCTACAAGGCGGGAAATTATGTGAAATGAAAACTTCGCGAAGTAGCGATATAATGTAATAGTTAGCGCTTTAAAAAAGAGAAAGGAATGGAAATTACCCCAAGTAAAACATGTGCAGGGTTTAATAATCCAAATGGATGTATTATCTGCCAGAAAAACGAGCAAAATACACTAGTGGCGCTGTTTGAAAAATAAGAGATTTGCCCGAGCCAGTATAGGAAGAATAACAAGGACATCTTTTCCAAGAACAATCTCTTTAAGAGCCTTTTGCTGTATTTCTCTAAATTCGTCCAAGCTAAACGACTTCAGAGCCTTCAAACAAGCACTTTCAAAGAGAATCTCAAACGACGAATTGTACGCCATTTTGTTACACTGCTGCCTGCTAATTTATTAATGATATGCCCCTCAAAATATCGGGGGCCACTCGCTGATTGGTCAAGACTGACAATAGCGAACCTCATGCGCCCAGCCGTCAGGGGAGAGAGTRTCGCKGGCRCACGAAATCCCGACGGCTGGAGACTGAGCCTATCCATACAGTATATTGACAAATATTTTATGGATGTGATTTTTGCATATTTCTCGAAATCGAACAGATGAATTTGTTTTCAACTATTCCAAAACGTTGTGCAATAGTTTGAAGTTAATGATGATCTACCGCATTTTTGAATCTCATCAAATTTTTAGATTTGGCAAAAACGAATTTCTACAAAATGCGATTTCCGCATATCCTAAATATCATGCCAAACACTTTGAAACCTTTGATCAATGCTTTATTACTGAACCAAACACSAAATAAATCGGTGCATGGCAAGAATTTCAAAAAGCGAATTTAAA